AAACCATTTAGTCTACAACTGAAAATGTGGATGGAGGACAACAGAGCTGCTTCATGGAAGAAGAACCTCAGCTTAGCCTGTTAGCTTTACACATTTTCTCAGTGCTACACATTCTCCTCTCGTCACTGAGGTCCTCCATCCACATGACAGAGAGGGGAACGCAAAAATGACTCAGCCTGCAACTGAAAATGTGGATGGAGGACAACAGAGCTGCTTCATGGAAGAAGAACCTCAGCTTAGCCTGTTAGCTTTACACATTTTCTCAGTGCTACACATTCTCCTCTCGTCACTGAGGTCCTCCATCCACATGACAGAGAGGGGAACGCAAAAATGACTCAGCCTGCAACTGAAAATATGGATGGAGGACCTCAGTTTAGCTTGTTAGTTTGTCATGCTAGCGCCAAGCTAACACATATAAGGCACTATAGCGTTGACACTAGCGCGAAGGCTAACAGGCTAAGCTGAGTTTCTTCTGCCATGATGCAGCTCTGTTGTCCTCCATCCACATTTTCAGTTGTAGACTAAATGGTTTCTACCTTCTCCTCTCTGTCAACGCTCTCTGGTTTCATTTAAAAGAGCCAATTGTCAGATTTTGTCCAAGATTAACCTTCAGGGTGGATATAGCTCGCTCTCACCGAGGACCTATCCACGTCATCATTTACCCAGAATGCTTTGCGTAAATAAAATATCTCTGTCCGTGTTAAAATATATTTTTAAAAATTTACAAAACTAAACAGTTAAAATAAATGTTTATCAAATAAAGTCTAATGTTACAACTAATCATGGATCCCTTTAACAACACCGCAACTGTGAATTTCCACAGATGAAATATGACTACACTAAACCTCTAAACACCACCTGGAGTTTACTCACCTCATTGTTTGCAATCTCTGTGAAAACACCAAGGGCTTTCTCTATATTGGCTTTCTGTTTTGTAGCAAGCAAGCAGTAGTTCTCCAGGATGCGAAGTTGCACATGTCCACCCGGCGTCTGAGGCTTGATCTCCTTGAGCAGCTTTTCTGCTGTTCTCACAGCAAGCTGCTCTGACTCTTGCTTTTCTGTGGAGTTGCTGAGGAGTGACAAAGAAGAAACATGTCCGCATTAAAACAAAGTTTGCGAGGTAATCAAGGAACGTGTTCTTTCAGGTGAACTCACCCGATTTCACCATCTAAATTCTCAAACACTTCCCCTCCRATTGTATCATTGTCGGGATTTAGGTAGATTTCAATCATGTTGTACACAGCGTTCTGTCCCCAGTCGTTGTCTTTCCGAGCCTTATTAAAGTGTCGAAGAGCGTCATTGGGTTCACCCGTGTACCTGAGCAGGAAGCACAAATTTAGCCACAAGACTTGAATGAACAAGAATGACCAGATATGTCACGTACCAAAGATAAAGCCCCTTGCAGTAGTTAAACCCTGGATCAAATTTAGTCCYGGAGGAATGTTTTTCAGCATTTGAGAGTGATTCGGGTACTTTTTCCAACTTGCCGGCCCTCCTCGACAAATCAATAAAACGTGACAGAGTTGGGTAGTTGTCTGAAAGCAAACAAGTGTTGTTTATTTAGGGAATTGCATGAAATTACATTTCTGTTTGATACTGAAAGACAAAGACAGGAACCACACCTGGTTTGTGCTTTAGGAGAGCTGCGAAATTTGAAACTGCCTGGTCATAATCTTGCTTCTGGAAATTTATTTCTGCCATCATCTAAGAACAAACATATATGACAAGTAAGTTTCATTTGTGTGTGTTTGTGTGTGTAAGTTTATCCTGTGGGGACAAATTGACAAAACAAACCAAAGTTGCTTCTTCATTAAGTTTGTCATTCTTCAAGATATGATTGCACTGGTTCTGGCATGCATCGATCTCATCTAAAGTAAGGTACAGCTGAGCCAACTCCAGCATCACCTAAACAACAGGGAACACATTCGTATGAATGGAGTTCATGGCACACATTTTAAGCTTAAATCAAACTGTAAACAACTGGAATCACACACACACAAAAACAAACAAACAAACAAACAAATAAATAAATTGCGACAAGATTAAATAAATAAATAAATAAATAAATAAACACCAACGCTTGTTAAGCACAGCTGCAGAAAGTACAGAGAACGGTTTTGATTCAGCTGCACAGACCTTGCGATCTGTCTCACAATACACAAGAGCTTCTTTGTAGAATTTGACCGCTCTCTCATAGCCCTTCTGACTTGCGTAGTGTTTGGCGATCTCGGCACAGATCTCAGCAGCRAGTTGCTTCTGCGCGGGGACGGCATCAGGCTGCTCCAACTGCACCAGCTTCAGCACYTTGGCTTGAACATTTCGCGCCTATAAAAAGAAAAAAGTTAGACTACATTGCTATTTTAAAAAAATCATAACAACTAAAAAAAAAAGATCATTGTTGCCACAGTAAAAAGTAAGATAGTACAAAAATGACAGAAATTTGTCAAAGAACCAAAGCAAAATATATAAGAGAAAATAAACTACTTACTTTTTCCAGAGAAAGTAAAGCTTCTTCATTTTTTTCAACTTTATTTTGGACTTTTGCCAACAAGACGAGATAACGGCATTCATTTGATAG